TCCCTGGTCAAGTGGTTGGCGCTATGGCCAAATCCGGGATCTCTGCCAGCTTTCTTCCTATAAAATATTCCATTTCTTTTGATTTTCCGGCTAACTCTTCATATGTTGTACATTTTTATCACAACATCATCTAGTCCTTTCATCCTCTTTTCACCTCTAGACACTTCTCATGCAGCTCAATTTTTTCTTACGATTAGTTTTTTTTCTCTTCTTTGTATTCCACAATCTTTATCTCATGTTTTACTCGTTCTTCTCTTCCTGTTTTTGTCCCTCAGCTCTTATTCCTCCACCGAAGGAAAAAATGGCTATGTGCACCTCAATCTCTCTTCTCTTTTTGTACTTATATCCTTCCATCCTTACATCTTTCCGATATATCCAATATCACACCGCTTTTGGCATGCACGCAGTGGTATTCCCCCTGAAGTGTTACGCATTTGAAATTATTATTTTTGCTTTTACTCACTATGCATAGCAAATGGCATTGTCCCCCCAAATTCAGATACGTGGCAAACGAACTCAAAAATGGACGTCCAGTGCCTCCGAAAATGTACCGTTCCGCGACTGTTATGTTCACGGACGTCGTTGGATTCACGAAGTTATGTGGCACGTCAACTCCTATTGAGGTGATTGAGCTGTTCATCAGTTTTCCCCTGTAAATGTCACATTTCGAGTAAAAATAACCCTATTCAGGTCGTCACTCTACTAAACAGTGTCTACTCCGGATTTGACGAGATTATCAACAAATTTGATGGCTACAAGGTAACTGTTCTAATAATAAGATAAGTATTGGGTGAAGGTGATGTAGCGTAGGTGGTACCGATTAGAACCTGCCCAAGATCCGGACGTTCAAATCCTGAATCGTCCAGGCCAAGGAGACATTCCATCTCTCCGGGGTGGGCCTGTGGGAACAAAACTACCAGACTTGTTAGGAAGGATAAAACACTGAGTTGCACATCGATAGGCCCTCGCAATTCATGGTATAGACCAAATCGCATCCAAAAAGGCACGACGGGGCTAAATGAAAGTGGAACGCGTAGCTGATCCCAAAAAGGGAGCAATCAACGCCAAGTGCTTTATTCTCTCACCATCAAGGGAGCAATCAACCAAGTGCTTTGTTCTCTCACCGTCAATAATAACGAAAATTTACAATTGATGTATCCCACAATAAGCAGTTCCTTTGATTGGGGCCATGTACAGGATTAACCCCGAAAGAGAAGCATTTTGGAGGGATTTATGACTACGCGCGCGCAACGATTCAAAGGAAGAAAGGCTTCAAAAGTGAATGGACAGTCTTCACCCTTTAGTTTATATGCGGCTGAAGCAACGCTTGCTGCGTCTCCCCTTACGGTGCCTCGACACAACTGAAGCTGACAGTACATTTCTTGCTGATCCTTCATACCGCTATTCTCCTCTGGACCAACCGCTATTCTCCTAAATCTTTAGCCGTGACTTTTTCCAGGTAGAGACTATCGGAGATGCGTACATGGTGGTGTCCGGAATTCCGGAGGAGAACGGAAAACGTCACATCAACAACATCGCCGAAATTGCGCTGGAAATTATGCAGGTAATAGACTGATTTCAAAAAATGGAACTGACAGATTCATAAAACTCAAAAATCTTCGACTTTTCCAGTTCCTCGAGACCTACCGTATTCCCCATCGCAAATCCGAACAATTGGTGATTCGCGTCGGATTCCATAGTGGTCCAGTGGCAGCCGCCGTAGTCGGGCTCAATTCACCGAGATACTGTCTCTTCGGTGACACGGTAAGCAGTAAACATTTCATATCTCGTCAGCGGGACTTTGTCAAGTACAGGAGGGGGAGGGAGGGCAAAAAAGAGTCACCTCACCTCCCATTTGAAACGGAATTGATGACAGTCTCCTGGATCCGAACCAGATGATCCTAACCAAAGATCGAAAAGCCTCCCACCCCGACGACATCAGAAGATTTTTCCACGAAACATGGTACACAGTACGAGCTCAACGAGGTCGTCGAGGTACCATAGACCATTACGACGTCTCTGAAACGCTGGTCAAAAGCGGTCTTGCATAGTCACAGCTAGTGTCTCTAAGAAGCTATTCACCAGTTAATCGATTGAAGAAATTATGTAGCAGCTTCAGGCTGGAGCGATTATGGTAGGCCTCCTTGAGCTCGACGGTGATGGCAGATGACGTCATATTCTGAAGACGGTGAGGGCAGTGAAGGAGGGCCTGCTTCTGCTTATGGGGGACATCTAAGGAATATTCTGCCGTTGAACTTCCATCAACAGCGGCACCGCAACCGTGAAAGAGCTAAGGTCCCGTTCTTACATCGCGGTTATAGCGAAATGGCGCTAATGCTGAAAGGAAAACATAGGTATCGATCTAAAATTTGCCGATTACGCGATAAAGCGACTTGACGATTTGGCGGTTATGTTCAAAGGACTAATGCACATTGATTGAACTGACGCCGCCCAATAACCATTCGTCGATACGATATGTCGACGATCCTCCAGTCGATACGCATACATTCCTTTCACCATAACCGCTAAATCGTCAAATCGCATTAACCGCGATCTATGAACGGGATCTAAGCGATGTGCGTGCGCCATGGGCGACATCGCTGTTTGGCCGTCCCGCGGTGATACGCTTATATGAACATGTGGAGGTGTCATAAGCCTAATTGGAGTGAGTGCTGAATATACACCAACTGAGGCAGATCCTAGAAAGGTGAGAATTCCTTTGACAACCTTTCATTGTGAACCTCTCCAGTAACAGGTATGTAGGAAACACGGTAAGCAATAAAAATTTCATATCTCTTCATGGGAGGCAAAAATGGTCGCTCCCCTCCTCATTTCAAACGGAATTGCATGAGCTTAGTTCGATTCAACAGGTGACGCCACCAATCAGTCCTAAAAATATAAAAGTATGGAAACAATAAGCTGGTGGAAGCATGCGAGGAAAACCAATATGTTTAATGGTATTTATGCAATATCATGTTTTGTAAAATTTCGTGATGAGCGATAAGGTGAGGTGCTGACAAAGATTTGAGCTGAACTTTGTCATACAAAATCGAGTTATTTTATTTATTTATTCATTTGCTTATATACTTGCACGTTCAAGTGTCCAAGAACATGATACGTAAATGAAAACAAATGATAATAGTAATGATATAATAATAGACCTCAAGATAAGGCTCACTGAAACAATAGTATTGATCAAACGACAAAAAAAGCCTTAACTCATGGAATCTAAGGTTTCAACGATTGACCAAAATTTGTTTCAGGTTAACATGGCGTCACGAATGGAATCGAGTGGTGAGCCAGGAAAAATACAGCTGTCAGAACAATCTAATAAACTTCTGGACATTGATTACCCAGAATTCGTCACCACGAAACGCGGTGAAGTTGATATCAAAGTGAGTTAGAATATTTTGAAAACTCTCGTCTTAACATCCGAGGCTTATCAGATCTCATGTGTACGACGATCATGTAAGGGAAAATAATTGAGCAGAAAACATTCACTGACGTTTTCCTCGCGGAGACCCTCTCCACTTAGACCCAAACACACAGAACTCGCATGGTAAAGTTTTGTAGCCTGAGTAGGCAATTGGGTGGACCTAAAAGGCAGCAGGAACCTCGAGAGAAATGCTAAGCGCTAGTTCAATACCCCTGAACCGTAGATGACAAATGGGTGAAAAAGGAGAGCAAGCGAAATGATCAGCCAAGTCCTCAAGATACGGTCTGACTGAGACAATAGTGTCGAGGCAGCACCGCAAAAGGGCGGGTGCGAAGGCGTTTTCTCTATCTGAACACAGAGCCTAGGGCCTTTCTTCAGGTGTATGGTGGCAATCAAGAAAGTCATCACTGCGTCCAGCTTAATTATCACACCAGCGAGCGACCCACCCATCAATTTTAGCGAAATTTCCTATTTCGGACGCACGCCCCGCCCACTGTGGGTGGAGTTTAGCATGGCCAATATATTCCCTTTGTGAGCGGTAAGTGCCCTATCTAGGCCTATTTTTTCCCTGCCTTTCGGATGTCCAGGGAGCGAAAACATCGATTCTTAGCGAAATTTTTGTTTTGGACGCACGCTCCGCTCACTGTGGGTGGAGCTTCCCATAGCCAATATTTCTCTTATAGAGCGGCTCATGCTCCACCAACTGCAAACTTGACCCCTTAGTTGATTTTCGAAGCAAAAATTAGAAAAACGTTTGGGAACTTGCGATTTTAGGGAGCGGCACAGACACCAAACTCTGTCTATATAGTCAGAAAGATTCGAATAAACACCCCCATAGTACGAAACGGCTTATAAAAATGACCTGCCACATAAATATAATATCTTTGCAAATGTCTTCAAATGCAAAAACAGCTTCAATTATTTCAGGGAAAAGGAGAAATGTTCTACTTACTGGCTCATTCGCAAGGACAACTCCTACTTCAATAATTCTAGTTCCTAAATCAGTTCCTCGTCTCATTATTCCTGATCTTCTTCCAATTGTACAGTGGTATAATACTGCTCCTTTTCCCGATAGTGATATCATAAAGCGTCGAGACAGCTCCAGATGCGTTCTGCCCAGCCTGAGATACTCCTAGTGTTCGCCGACATTACCGCAGTCTCAATAATATCGCCAGAAATACAGTAATATCATAAAGTTATCTCATTGGAGAGCATGTTTGAATAAGTGTATTTCAGCGAATAAATATGAAATATGTTGATGAACCTTCGGCAGTTCTTCCAATTCGTACCAACAAACGTGCATATCTAAAGCACCCCTTCCGCGGACAACCATCAAAAAACATAAGAGAGAGGAGTGATTGCAATTCATCGAAAAAACCCGTCGTGCTCCTCAAAGGGCTCTCAATCACATGAACCACACTGCGCGAACAAAATTGCCAAGATCTCCGCTCCACCCGAAACCTCAACTCAAACCATGCGAGAGTTCTTGGGTTCGCACGAGGCCGCGCTATCGTGGTGCTTTGGCAAAAACTTATTCTCCGTGCTACCGAAACATAACGACCCCCCCCCACCACAAATCAACAATCTACAGAAGCCCCTCCCCCCCCGTTCGTACTTGTATCCACGTAGGTTGACCTTGGTTCGCCACTAAGGTAGGAGAGCCCTCAATAGCCTGCTAGCTTTTGTTCTGTATCGCTGGCTTCTTCTGTTTCGGGAGTGGGACCAAACTGCTTCAACGGTGAAGTTTGGGTTTAACACGTTGACGACCGCGCTATTTTTCGCTGTCTGGCGTGTGGGACCGCGCGCATTATTTTGACCGCGCGAGTGTGACATGACATCATGTCACACGGTCCCACGAGAACTCCTTTTTCTCAGGAAGTGTGTATTTGTTATCTTTCTTGTGTGGTAGGTCTCCGATTATGCGATTTTGGCCATTTTAGCGATTCCTGTGATTTGATCATTATTCAAACATTTTTAGAAAAACTCGATAGCCCATCAACCGAAGCTTCTTTCCAGGGACCACGCCTTTTGTAACAATGCCTAAGTATGGCGCATACATCACGTAAATAAGTTACCTAAAATGTTTGAAAACCAGCTTAAAAAAGACTGTGACATGACATCATGTCACACGGTCCCACGTGGCCGAAAGAGTGTGGTATGACATCATACCACACGGTCGTCAACGTGTTAATCAGACCTGTTCAGAGTATCACCCTCAAACTTCGCTTATATTCACAAATATAGTGCTTGCTGGCCATGTGGCCTATACAGTGACTATGAGGGGCCAGCAAGAGAAAATTCCAAGGCTTTTTCGTCTCAGGATGGTCCCGTACTAATTATGCCGTCAGGTAAGGTTGAAGATTTACTGGAAAGCCTGCGAACTCAAATCTGGATCTGAACCTCGCGAGTAGTAGATGGCGCCACCTGCCATCGAAGATAAGGTAGGCTGGACACGTCATGCGATTTTTTATGACCGCCGTTGGACCAGAGCGGTTACCGACTGGATCCCTCGGGACGTCAAACGAACACCTGGACGACCGCCGGCCCGATGGTCAGACTTCTTCACGAAAGCTCTGAACGAAAGGAATGAAGAACACCGTGTCCCTCGAGCGAGGAGGGTCCACTGGACAACTCTTGCACGCGACAGGGACGAATGGAGACGTTGCTGGCGCCCGCTCGAGCAATTCGATGATCAACGGGACGACAGGTGAATGATGATGAGGTGGACGTCTCGGACGTTTCTTCATTTATACAGATCTTAACTCATCTTAGCAATCATTTTCCTGAAGACTTTTCATGACACCACCTCCGTTGTGTGCCCATTCTGTCGTTTGCAAGGGATCCGAATTGGGCCGTGAGTTCACTCTGCACTCCCACGTTTCCTAGGCGCCATGTCCATATCACCACTCACCTCTATCTGCGCGTGCTCTACCTTTGCCTTTCACTGGTTCACCATAGCTAATCAGTTCTTGCAGTATAACTCGACGAGGGGTCAATAAGGAGTAAACCTTCAAACTGAGAGCTAAAATCTGTGAGGCATGCTGAAGCTTACAGCTTAGCGGCTCGCTTCCTATATCCACAAATCGTCTTATCACCTTATAAGTGGCTGGAACGTTATGCTTAATACACTAATAGTAATCAGTTCAAGAGAAGAAGGCTTAAGAATTCTCGGGAGTATACATGAGCACGGCATCCAAAGCGCAGATAAACACATGCCCGTGCCCAAATCCAGTCTAGGATCTAGGCAGGGTAGAACTCCTTGCATCCTAATCCTTATCCTCAGCCGCACCTCCTTTGGCTTTCTAACGATAAGACTGCAAGTAACAAGTATGCTATACTCACTTGGCACGCGAGCTTTTGTATTAGGTTGGAAAGAAAGTCCTGCAACACTTTTTCAAATTTTTGATTTTAATTTTATCTTTTTTGTTTACAACTCCTGACCGGTCTTATATCTACCATGAGTGTCCACCACTTGTCTTCAACGCTCAGAAAATTTCTTGATGCTCCTTTGCCAAAACCCAGCGGAGTGCGGGTCGAGAAAGGAGGCGACCTCACTTTCGAGTTGGAGTTGATCGTCTAATTATTTCGTCATCAAGATGATGATTGAGGCCAGGATAGGTGCCACTTCATTTATAGCTCGACCAGGGGAATACGCTAAGAGAGGATAAGAAATCTTGCCGCAGCTCCAGAATTTCTTACCGGGCTCATTTCGGATCATGGTGATTCGCAATGTCATGAAAGAAATGAATATTGTCGCGGTACGAGGGCTCTTGACGAGCTGCCTCGGCCAGCTTCTGGAGTTCCGCAGCCTACCTCTACCTACACAATGGTGCCCATAACGAAGAATTTGTAGTGAGTTAGTTTACCTATGGATTGTTCAGACAAAAATTTAGAAAGGAGTTCCGCAGACCTTTTCTTGCCCAACCTAATCGTATATTCTTTTATATCGTTATGGTACTAAATGCACAAAGGAAAGCAAGAAAAATAAAGGACAACACGTTAGACGTGTGAGTGCTGAAAGCTATGGTACGTATACCATGAAAAGCTGAGTTGGAATGAAATGGTGCCCCGGTAGCGTAACTGGTAGCGCACTTGCCCGGAAAGCGAGAGGTGCGGGTTCTAGTCCCGCCTGGGGCGAAAGTTTTGTTCACAACCCAGCATTCTTGTGAAACATTCGCAACGCGAACTGCGGCGTTAAAACAGCAGTTAACAAACAAAACAAGTCAAAACAGATTGCTATCCGAAAATGGGCTGCTACTCTAAGGAGTTAGTAATTCAGAAAAATATAATAATTTCGTTTGGGGTCGGATGCAGCAAGCCTCAACACGAGGATTGGCCCCCAATGTTCTGCATATTTGAACGCTTCCCCTATTTTTGACCTTGAGGGTTACGGCATCGACTAAAGTAGAGACTTTCAGGACCCATCCCCTAGTTGGGGTTTGCTGCAAACAGCTCCAAAATGTTTCAGAGGCCGAGTGCTGAGCTTTAGAGAAGATTGAGAGCCTTTCATATCGTCAGGAACTTTGCAACATGACTGTGAACCGTGATAAGCTTTACCCTCCCCTCTCAAATTTAACTGGAATCACTTCTTTACAGCCAACTTACAACGTCCCAATAGCTTCGATAATTGTTGCAAATATATCGGCTGCCTTCAACAGTCATGCAATTATCAGATAAACGTCGAAGACATCTACGACCCTACGCTGCGCATTCCTTATTCAACGTTCAAGGAAAATTCCATTCCTTATAATGCAGCATCCGTTCTGACCAACTGAACAGCTTACCACAAAAAGTCAACCGTTTTAAGTGATCGACGCTTTAATGACAAATATTGGATGCCATCATAATCACAATCAACACTACGTCTAAAAGTGACCAGCAGTGAACATTTGCTAAAATATCGCTTTAACCAGTACGTACAAAGAGTGAAGCAATCAAATAACATGTAGGAATGCACCAAGCGAAAAAAAAGGCATTTGGTCAAATCATTACAGAAGACATGTTATAAACAATGCTAAATGAGAACTATAGCTGATATTAAAATGATGAGATTGTTTACATATCACAACTGATCCACTTAGGAAAACATGCACGGGGAGGGGGATTGGGATGCGAAAAAAGGAAAGGGATGAGAGAGAACTGATGAGCTAATGTGGATCACAAGAAAAAAATCACAACCGACCACTAATTCGAGTAGTCAGTTAGTAGACTAATTAACCAATTAAGTAAGCACTGCTATGAATTTCATCTAAAATGAAAACAACTCAAAGATGGGCTAAAAGCGGATATGGTAAACAATGATCATGGGATTTTGAACCACTGACAGCTTAACAAAACAGTGCAGTGCGAAGGCACACTAATGAATTTGGAAGAGCGACTAGCCGTAAACGAAGGGTAAGAAAAACCTGCTGGGAAACACAAGAGGAGCGGAGACTAGTAAACTAGCTAGATTATAAAACAAGAAACTACACGGTTACTCAAGCCTATGAGAACCATAGATTCACCCAGAGTTATAGATGAATTCAGCAATGTCAGGCACTATCAACTCAGCTCTTGCGAGAACAGCATGAAACCAGCTATCTGACTGCAAGTCTAAGGCTCTTCGACACTCGTTCAGAGAGAATCGAGAGCTCTTCGTAGCCGAATTCTTTTCGGAAGGTAAAGGCTCACTGGAAGTTGAATTTGTGATACTGCTAGATGACCGGTAAGAATCTTTTCTCACCTGGCATGCTGCACATACAGAATGAGCGCTCGCGCAGCATTTTCTACATATAGCATCAGCTGGTTCACTAGTCCCATGCGAGCGGACTCCTAAATAGAGCTCATAGAATACGTAGTAAACTATGAAACTCTCAGATAAAAACTCAAACTCCAAACTCTCATTAGATATGTCAAGAAAAACTCATGAATGGATCTCACACCTATACGACATTAGGCTTATGTCTCTGTTTGCAAAATATGTGCTGCAATGTCCAAAGACCCAGGCCAGTGCCAGAACGAGATGCTATAGCGTTTGTGCGTGATCATAACGGCCCCAAGATTAGTTTTCTTGACCTACTCAGGCAACCAAATTGGTACCAGCTTCATGAAGCCACGAACCCACCGTACGTACAGGCTGATCCCACAGCCTCAATCTTCCCCTTGTCCCCTCATAACCGGCACATAAATGTATAATTCTACGAAAGCAAACTTCTAATGAGGGAGGCTTACGAGGAAGTATACACACAAACAAGATTTTTTATACAGTTAATATCATCTGCCACCCAAATTTCTGAGTCTGCGCTGTGTTTTCAATAGTTCATACTCAATAGCTCATGCATTGAGCTTTCCAAGCTCTATGCATGAGCTATACTGGCTAGGATTATTCTCACCAAGACTAGTGTGGATGCAAGTTATCGCGAAAAAGTAAATGAGGAAAGACAGCTACACTTAATTAAGCTTGTTTGAAAATCAACTGTCGGAGGAAAACTCAAAACAAGACAAATCGCAAACATCATACCTCTAAAGGAAGTAGATCAATTCGCCGCAAAAATGTCTTAACACATTCGAGAACACGACATGAGGTCATTTCTCTGGAAAAAATCATTACTATTCAAAGGCATCATAGGATGCTACACCGCATATAACAAGCTCATAGAAGATTTCTTTATATACCCGGCGTGAAAAGTGTTGCAACGAGTCATTTTAAGGCCACGTTCTATGATAGGAATTCATGGATAGTAATTCATTTAAAAAGCTGTGGAATAGAACGCTGCTTTTTTTACAAGTGTCTCAGCATTGCAAAGCTTACGGCAAAAACACGGGACACCAAGAGAGAAGACGACGACGTTGGCAACTACCGCTAAACCTATTTGCAGTCTGCAACCTACAAACGTTTTACTCAATTCATCCTTCACATTACTGGCAGAGCCCCGGATGAAGGGCAGTCACGAGAACAAGCAGGGTTTTGGAACAATTTAAGACGACATCTACATCCACCCGGTTGCCAGATATCGCTATGTTTCACGTTTATCAACTTGAGGAAGGTGTTTCACTCTGTGCAGTAATCAAGCCCTGGGAACTAGGGTGTCGTACCCAGTACATAAGGATTCTCCGTGAGCTCTACAGTAATTTGACGACCTGGAGGTAATCGTTTTACAAGGATATCATTATTGACGTGGAGGTCAGGATAACACTATCTCGAGAATAAGGGATAAAGCGTTCGGCGTTAACAAATCCGTTTCAGGATGCGCAACGCACCCTTCTTCCATGCAAAATCGGAAGGCATGGGAAGAAAGGTGGTTTCGACAGCGCGCGTGGAGAGGTCGGTCTACAGCTTAATATAACAAATATATGCTCATGCAAAACGGACCGGTTCCTTTTGCTCCATTCACGCACAATGGAACGGACACCTCCCAATGCTCCAGGTGTGTATGCTTGGTTAGGAAATCAACATAATGAGTGGCCTAGTTTCAAGGCCATAACCGAAGGAAGCAAAAGGCTCTTTGCAGCGAAGAACCAGAAGGCTCGATTTGCTGTGTATTTCACAATTTCTTCGCTTTTTTCGCCTTTTGCAGTCCACCTCCCATCCCCATTTTCATATCTGAGAGCCCTGTACTATGCGCGGGCAGGACAAGCATGGGGTCAGTAGCAGCGAAGAGGACGCGCTGGGAGTTACAGTGAACGCAAGCGCGAGTTCTAGGTTCTTCAACAATCGAAGATCAGGTGGAGCCGGACACGTCATGCGATTTTGCGATGACCGTTGGACCAGAGCGGTTACCGACTGGATCCCTCGGGACGTCAAACGAACACCTGGACGACCGCCGGCCCGATGGTCAGACTTCTTCACGAAAGCTCTGAACGAAAGGAATGATGGAACTCTAAGAAAAGGAATGATTGAAGGTTTTTCAGCGCTTGCCAAGGAACTCGAGTGAACCACAGGCGAAACGGTGACCCAGCGACTGTGTAAAGTCTTATCAGAGGAACGAGAAGTGACGCTGTATCAGCCTGTCGTCCCGTGGGATCGATTTTTCTCTGAGCGGGCCAGCCACTGCTCGCATTCGTCTCCTGTTCGCGGGTGCCATGAGTGGTCTTCGTGAAATCTCTTGCTTGCGAGTGCACGAAAGTCGCAACCATTCTTATTCGCGTTCAGAGCTTTCGTGAAGAAGTCTGACCATCGGGCCGGCGGTCGTCCAGGTGTTCGTTTGACGTCCCGAGGGATCCAGTCGGTAACCGCTCTGGTCCAACGGTCATCGCAAAATCGCATGACGTGTCCGGCCCACCTTATCTTCGATTCCTTGGCCAGCCAGCGCGTCCTCGACTTCGTATCTTTGCGCGTAGTTTCAAACTCGAGAGTGCCGAAGAAGGGGAGACAAATATGTGAACAATTACAAGATTTGAAGCCACCATAAGCGCGCAAGAGAACGAAAGAACAATAATTCGTCGTTTGATGCTCCTTTCCAGGATTGCGCGGGGCATCGCATTCTAGCCTCCATTCAGTGTCAAGCATGAGTGGTAACTTTAATGCATGTGGTCCTTAACAACGATCGGAGGTCCAGTCTCAGAGTGTCTAAGTTATTGATATAGTTATTTCCTGGACAATGCCTGTGTTATCAATTATCGAGCCCAGAATAGGATGGAATATTTGGCAGGCCAGACAGCTCGCCCGTCTCAAGCTTCATCCCAGGAGCTCGTGCGTGGTAAGCACCGCCGCTTACCACTACACTACTTCGCGCACAGCAAGAGAATAGTTTGAAAAAATGAGAAGTGAGGACTCACAGCGTGACAGGCTTGCATCGGAAAGAGCTATCAAGAATGATGTTGATCCTCTGTGCATCAGCCCTCTGCTTCAAAACTCGATGACGGCTATAAGGTGGCGACATACAGACTGTAGCACGGTCCACATCGACAACACATATCGGCCAGCTTGAGAGCGCTCCACACTGCATCACATATGGTAGCTCACACTGGAAAAATACTTGTTTCATGTGTTCTGATAGAGTCCCTGACGAGTTTCAATGGAGTTGTCAACCCTGCCACTCTTGTTGGATTGGACTGCGAGTCAACTCATGCACCACATTTCCTGTGGCTTTCTAGCGACTCTCAAAAACGGCAAACCGAAGTGAAACCAGACATTATGTATTCTAAACTGTAGCTTTTGTTTATAATATTTACTCACGGATTCGCTTCAAAATATTCATATCTGCGAACCTAATGGAGAATCAAGTAGTTAGTGAATGTTTTTTCAACTGGGAGAGGTCGTATCTTTGAAATCAATTCAGATGGCTTTTCACCTTCAGAGTCTTTCAGTGACTGTCTCCAGGACAAGGAATCCACATGCTGTTGCCGTTGACGCAAACCATAATTCTGTACTCGAGTTCACAGCATTTCATTATTTATGTTATTGACATTGCATTACTACTGTTGTTTTTTAACATACTTAACTAAACTCTGTTTTTTTTCTTTTTTTTACTGTTTCCTATCAGATGACGTTACTGCTTATTTATCCCACGCCAAATAAATAAAAGATCTCCAATGGGTAGGATCAGGACTGGTCATGAGTCGCCCGCACTGAATCATTTCACAGTGTGATTTCTCCTAAGGCTGTGCTAATTAGAATGGCGGGTCGGAGGCTGAATTGTTAGGGGTAGGGAATACCTAACGACCAATAAATTCAGTCTCCGATTCCACATGTATGTTTGTTCTGTCTAGGAGTGACGTTATCCCTAGCGTCATCCGCCTACTGAAGTCACATATCGATGCTTTAAGCCATCATACAGCCCTTAGTACGTTTCTAACTCTTTCAATTTGCGCATCAACTTTGACTCAGATTTTTTTCTGTTATACCTCACTGGAGATCTTCCTACCTTTTGTTTTAGACCGTTTTACACTCATTTGATTGCAACTTTTTGCATTAATTAATCAATGGAATTGTAGAAGCGCACCTAAGCGTGCACAGAATAAATAAAATAAAATAAAATAATGCTCTTTTTGTCATATTTCGTAAATAGATAAGGTTCGAAAACATCAACTCACTCTACGTACAGCTTGGAGTCGAACGTAAGGGACTAAACTTGTGGCGATACATACGAAGACAGCACCAACGCAACTCCTCAGGGACAAACGCGACAAGTGTATTTAACAACTGCAACATTACCATGTAGAATGAGTTCTTATGACGAAACAGTTTGAGGAATACGAAAGTGATGTCTCACCCTTGACACATAATTTGGTATTGGAACCTATTATGACGCAATAGCCTTGACTTTGAAGTACGCCCGATATCGCTTTACATAGTACTTTGTCACTGTGACAACGCTTTCCAGTTAGTAACGTGTTTTTAATCTGCAAATAAGGAACCGAGATATTCTAAGTAATGAAGAACAAAAGCTAGTATGTTCCCTTTGTTTCTCGAGACCGGACATACATTTGTGAACTTAGGAGCAGCACATTAGGCCGTTCGCAGAACCCCCACCCTTCTATTGATTGGAGAAATCTTTCAAATCCATTCGTTTTCATAGTGATACTTCCATGATCATTGGTTTTTACGGTACATATTTTGTTTTAAATATTCCACATTCGGCACTAACAAGCTCCAGTTGGCTGGGCCACGTATGACGAGTGGGCTCGAAGATGATGGATTCAAGAGATTTTTAAGATATGTGTGTCCAGGAAAATGTTGAAAATCATGTGGGCCGGTATCAGATTTGCTAAGCCGGCGAATTCGCTTATCTTTGATCGCGCAGCGTTGAACGCGCCAAGCCACTGGACAGTGTGAGTCTCTCTCGTTCGCCTACGTTACTAGACCAGGCGCAAGGGGGTATGGCTGAAGGGCACGAGGCATAGTCGAGAAAGAGTCACAGGTCCAAATAAGAAGGCCCTTAGAACTTCCTCAACATCTCGTCGAGTGTTGTGCATCGTGGCAAATCGCTAGCACATCGCTCACGCTCGTACCGATTGATCAAGCGAGGGATATGAGGGTTACAAGCCGTAAAAATATTAGAATTCGGTGAAAAAAGCAATCATAGTAATTAGTGCATATAAAGGCCTGAACAAATCATTCATACAATTTCGCACCTCCGATAAAAACCGAAAACGTGAATAACATTAACAAAACTTACCACCGTGTCCTGAGTCCGACTACTAACGCCGGACGATACCTATCTCAAAGCTACGTTGGTAAGTGTTTACTTCTCAATGAATTATTTCGCACGATTCTGTTTTCTGTATCTTGAGTGTCGAGAATCTTGTCTTTGGACGGTGTGATTTGGTTTGCAAGCCTTGTACACTATTAACTATGAGTTGGGTTTACCTTTCTCAGGGCGTAAACTCTCCTGTCAGACACAAGTTTTCCATACCAGCGAAAACAGAAATTATGGAACAAAACCGCAGTTCCAGTGGAAAAAAATGAAAGGCACCCACTGCAATCATAGCTGCTTTGATTTTAGGAACAGTGTCAAGAACTGCTGACTCGAGGAACGGTTGTCTTTCCAGATACCATTCCTGCCTTGAAGAATGACGCACTTTAGAGTTATTCGAAAAAGGAAACCGAATAGAATAACTTACTTGCAACAACTCATTAAAAACGAAATCGCATGTATTGTTTTGTTCCCATCTCGTGCAGTAACTGAGAATATAAAGGATCCGACCAAAAGATTTCGAGAAGGAACCACGGTTACTTTATGCATCAGAGGATTGGAGGGCAATTGCGTACTGAATATTAATGGTTACTGGAGCAAAGGAAAATTATAAACAAACACATACCTGAAAACTTGTTCGGACAAAACAAATTTGGATACAAATACTTCATCAGCCACAGTATCTTCACGAGGAGCAATTGGTAAGTCAAGAAGTGACACGACATCGTCATCAAACGATCCTGGTGTGGATGCATTTGACTGCTGCTGTCTGCAAGACCAACAAAATTGAGAAGAAAGCATTTTACATGGAAGAAGATGCTACCTGTTGAGCAATTAATGGACAAATTAAAAAGAACCTTTTAGCGGCGCATGCCACTGCAACTTGACGTTAATTTTCAATACATAGAAAGGTAGCTTTCCATAATCGTTACGGTGTTAAACACTGATTTGCTCATCATTCTACCAAATAGAAATTCGAAAGAACGAGGAATGGTGCCTAATTTTGCACAAGTTCTTCATAGACTAGGAAAAAATGCCCTACCAGTTAAGCTCACCTGTAGTTCATGAACGGTCCAAGAAATGATTTTGGAGGATTTGGTGGAATCTCAGCAGAAGGCGACAGGCAAAATGCGCTCAATTCACTATGTGTTGAAATTGTGCCTCCAATACCGGAATCCACGCAAGAAGTGGTAAGAACTAAACAGAGTAATCAATTTTTGAAAAAAAAAACGATAAAAAACTGTACCATTAGCGACTTTCTCACTGTCTACGACTTCTGTATCTTTTGCACATTTGTCATTTGCATTCATCATCCTCGGACAGTTTAGAGAACGAAGACGAGCTAGTTTTACTAGTGTCTTCGTAGAGCATTCTGAACCATTCCTGCTTGCTCGAATCCTGAACCTGCATTTGTATCCCAAGAAAGAGAAAAAAGGGTCATGTTCAATTTTTGGAGATACCTTATACCGAGATTTTGTGCATAGAACTTGGGTTGTAACAAAAAGTGTCTGAAGTATTAGCACCAATTGAAGCACGAGTTTTCTCTCATGCAGAGTGACATTTTCAATAGAGTGTAACAGCAGCAGGTTTTATAGCAATACTGTTAGGTGACTACAAAGGGCCAGCGCTGGACAGAAAATCCGCATCTCCAAGATAAATAAGTCAACGAATAAGGGGAAAGGTGGCTCGTCATAAAAGTGTTTATAGTCAGCTGCTCTCTATATAACCACACTATGTTGCCTCGACGTTGAGCCTTGTAAGAGTGAGAAGTTAGAGCTAAATTGCCAATAAAAATAGTATTTACTCACGTTTGTGAAAGAGTATCATCGGACGGCCTTGGGTTTTCCGATGACAACAGTGTAGAAATATTCATCAGCTCCATTGGAGTTCCTACCATTGGATCAATTGGACCAGTAGATTCATCCACATTAACCTACAATTTGCGTAAGTCAGAAAAGTAATGAAGTCGCACCCAAGATTCTTAACATACGCCTTCTGACTCAATCAGATCCTCTGCACTTTGTAACATTGTTGCCGTAGTAGAAGCCGAAGTTGACCTCGATGTGGACGTACCTTCCTAAACAGTAGAACTTACCCATACACAAACCAGTGGAAAATAATATATCACGAACCTGCACGCAAGAGTCCGTCATTGTGCAGTTGGACTCGGCCTTACTGTAGTGACTGTCGACCATGAACTCATCAAGATACCGTAGCTCACGGTAAGCGACACCTGCATTTCGACTTGATATGTGATACTCATGATATACGGAATCATCCAGGAATGTATCGTCCATCACTCCTGCCGTACATGTCAGATCGGTCTGGAATGACGTTCAGCATCAGTAAGACTCGAACACCGCATGAAAAGCAATCAGCTACAGCTACCCCTAGTACAATTTGCCTTCACCTCTAGTGGATCATCAATGTCCTCATACTGAGCAGATTGTGTGGACATGGAAGAATCTAGGCTCTCGGCGTCGTTCACCGAACCTTCTTCTCCACTGAGATTCACAGGTGACACCGATGACGACGATGTGACCTGGACAAGGCTCCTAGACAAGTGTCTAGGAAGATATGTGAAATAATAACAGCAATACCTCCCATACAAATTTCATCTCAGGTCCACACATGAAATCAAATGAAGACCAGACAATCTTTCCAATGCTAGAAACGTTTTGCAAGCGAAGTTCGAGCCGCCGTACAGCAGATTTACCCTTAAAAAGTGAATCTTAATCAAAAATAAATCACAAACCTAATTTGGCTATTTAATTGCCCGTTGATTTGTGAATTAAAGTACTATGCAGTTTGCTTCCATTTACACAGTAAACACAGGAATACATTACAAAAAACAGCTCTTTTTAAATAATCAAACACTCGTCAAGCATCAAAAAGGTCATGTTTGCTTTCCTTGCTCCATATTTTGCTCCAGTCATAAACAAACAAATGCAGAAAAACCGTTGCAAATACGATCGACGTACCTGATGTAGGGCATCGTAAGCGGAAAAATAGAGCTCAGCCTCCATTGAGCGCTCCTCAGTCCGGCGGCAAATTCATGTAATCACACCTCATAAAGAAAATGTTCAATGTTGGAAGCTGAAAGAAATCACACCACGCGCCCAGCTGTTTTTCATTTTCAATGTGTATAATCAAGAAACATAGTGTGCATTTGCAGACGAGAGGTCACTTATCCGTCACTTGGGAATTTCGAATTGAATATGGCTCACATATAAGTCGTGCTTTATGCTTTTGTTTGGTGTTGGTTCCCCTAGCGTTTTATTTGAAAATGGGCTTCAATAACCCTAGTAGAACTAGACAACTATCGCTCCTGTTCGAGTGGAGGTTTGCCGAAGTTCATTGCATTCCTTGCACAAATTGCTTATACCGTTCGGTGAACGTCGACGGACTACTTGAACTCAGCCCTTTAAACCGCCTCTGCGCTCTCTCGCGGGTCCCTCTCCTCTCCAAGGCTTAGTCCTAGGGCATTCACCCGTTCTCTAATCGTCTGTGCTCTAGCCATCGCGGCAGGACCATTGAGGAAAAATCAAGTCCGCCGGAGTCGAATGGTTTAGTGCTCTCACCTTTTAGGAATATGGTCAAGGAGGGTTTACCGTGTCGCCATGCTTTCTTACCAGCATCTGCTTCGTGGCAATTTGGTCCACTCGTTTCGCACTATCCATCAACGCAAATTGACTAGCTTCACATGCTTTCCGATGGTTTTAAACTTTACATGGATTTATGTTTTGGTCAAGGTTCTAAGATTTGCCAGTATGACGAGCAGCAGCTCTAGAACCAATTTAGACCTTCAAGGAGTGGAGTGACTGTGTGATATAAACTGTTGAGGTACGGACTATTGTGATGCGTGTTTTGGTTTGGGCTCAAATAAGTTTGAAGCATTCCTACAAGTACAGTGATTGCGGACTCAAACCGCAGTTATACTTTGTGATCTCTTGCAAGAGGGTGGGGTCGATGCGATTTATTGTGCGATAGTCAATACGTATCTGCTCCATGAAAAATCGTGTGATCGCAGAATCGCAAGGTCGCAAAGTATGACCGTGAACATGTGTACGGAAGGGGCTGCATCAATGTTGATGATGTAATGTAATTAAGTCAACGTATAAATAGCTTGTTTTACTGTTTTATAGTGACAGATCAGCTTCTATGATTCATTAGAACGACATGCAACCGCATTTTTATTTTAATGTACGGATTTGATCATAATCCATTTTCCTGTAGCATAATCGATCTCTCCAGTAAGGGGGGGGGCACGCTGTGCAACAGTCGCTGCGGCTTACGGAAATCAATCCGAATGGAAGAAAATCCCCGGGGTTCGTAGACTATTTCGCCTTCGCTTTCACCTACTGCGGAGCTTAACTCCTCTGCGAAAAAATTGGACTATGTCAGGCGATACGAACCGGCGCACCATACCCTCTCCTCCCTTACTGGATGAGATCCACAAGGTCTGATTGGTTTCTTCTCGTACGCGATATTTCTCCAGTCAGTTTTGCGTATCTCGACAAACCTTTTCAGGATGTCAGTGGAGCAATGGGTTAGTGATGAGCTTCATGCGATAGTGGGTATCAGTGACCGAACAATTTGCCAGTACGTTCTCGCCCTTGCTCGAAGAAGTAATAGCACAGAAGACTTCATCGGCAAACTGAAAGATAATGATGCTCTCGAAATCAACGATAGCGTGCGACAATTCGCCTCTCAACTCATGAATAAGCTCCCAAAAGCAGGTGTGTCTGGAAATTTTCTATAGTGCTTGAATACTCACTTGAAATCGGGGTTTCAGGCACCACATTTTCATCAAATGAACTTTCTTTTATTTCTCAGTAGGCAAGAGATCGAAATTGGAGTGGCGACCAATTACTTCTCTATTTTAGCTCCAAAGACAACAACACGTAAAGGACCTTCTGCCGCAGAACTTCGAGAGCGGGAGCTGATGCGACTGAGCAACACCATGACAGTACTGGAAGATGAGGAACCGGTGTACACAAGAAAATCCTCTCATCAACGGAAACGACGTGAGAGCAGTAGCGACGATGAGGTACCAGAGCTCCTCATTAGGAGTCAAATCTTTCAATATTTGCTATATTGACTCATGATGTGTGTTAAATTTCTGAAGAGGTGGTTTATTAATTTCTTTCTGTTTCCTTTAATTGGTCCGTCGACATAACACATCATAGCGCTTCCCAATAAGGGGTCATTTCGGTGCGGAGAGCTCTATATTTGTTGGCAGAAACCATCACGAAAATGTTTCTATTTTATTGGAGGAGTGCCTTTGTCTCCGTCAATATTAATCTTGTTGTCAAAATGCGTAAGGACGCAGTGTTCATAGTTCATGATTCAAGCGATGCGTTGATCTCGCTGAACGGAGTGCGAACGTTTAAAGTCGTCTGCATCCTTTCATTGAGTTAGTGTGCCCACATATTGCCCCTCTCAATTATTTCGAAAAAGCTTTGGTGACATGTGGCTAACCTACCTTTACTTTTCATTCCTTGAATTTGTCGCATCCGCTCTAGTTCGAAGATTGCGCGTCTCGTTCGGTGAGGGCGCAGCGAAGGTTGGATATGGAGTGGGGGAAAGGTGGGTGCCCTACAGAGGCCCGTCGCGCGGCAAGAAGGCAAGTCGGCGGACGAGTCGCAGCGCGTGCGATGTAGGACGTGCAATGGTACATTCTATTTAACTTGACGCGAAATCACTACAGTACGCGCTGCGACTCGTCCGCTGACTCTGCCTTCTTGCCGCGCGACGGGCCTCCTGTCGTGTACCAGGGTACGGTTTTTATCCGAAAACAATTTGCGACATGATTTTACGGAGCGAAACACATATGCAGAAATTTAGGCCCCGCAATCATCAAAAAAGGTGGAGTCAAAGCAGGAGAAGCGAAAAGAAGCATCTAGTGATTCCGATTTTGAAGCCATTGAAGGAGAGCTTGATCGTGACATCAAAGAAAGAGATGAGCTGGCTGCGAGAATTCGGAAAAGAGAGAAAGAGAAGACTCGCAATGTTCTTGAACAGAAAAGGAAGATACCGGATAATAAGGTGAGCATTATGAGTATTTCTTCCTATTTTCATTTCTGGTGATAGATTCTTTGAGATAAGATTTTTTGATGCCAGCGGTGTATTTATTCGGTAGTTCATTCCTTGAGAAGTACTGAAAGCGACCTGGTCATAAACAAATTCTATGGATCAAAACTTTAGCAAGGGTTGTTTCTTTTGCGGGCAGCTGTTTTACGAGTTATTTTACAGGATAAGGAAGCATACTCTATTGACAAATTACGGGAAGAGTCTCGTCGGCAATATCTTGCTAAAAGAAAGGACGACAAGCTCGATGAGTTGCGGAAAGTTGTACAGGATGATGAAATGCTGTTTGCTAATGAAGAGTAAGTTCTTTTAGAATTATCTTAATGAAACCATCCGATTGAACACTACGCTTTAGTCTTACCGAACGTGAACGAAAGGATATGGAATACCGAAAGAAAGTGTTAGAATATGCTGAGCAGCACGAAAAAGCTGCTGATATTATGAAAACAAAGCGGTACTATGTTCCGGATGCGAAAGTCAAATCCATACCCACAGAGTACGTTGAGGACACGGAGGAAGTTCGTCATGGAGGTATTTATGCATTCATAATTGAAGTCATTTATGAAAGTTGCATCGTCAGAGCTATCGTTTATGTTTAAATTTCTTGGATTTTTTCATGATATCTGTTCTTTGGATTTTGTTTTATTGAGCTCCATCCGTTGATTTGTGCTAGACGATCGGCGAGCGGTCTTCGTTAAACTTCATTTGCAGGAGACGGCGCCAAATGGGAACATGAGCAGCTTCTGGCTAGTATGCTGCATTATGGTGCGAAGGACGCGAAATCCGTCAGTTTTCGATTAGTTGTTGTTTGAATATTCCTTCAGTATAAGGTTTTTGTTTAGAAACAAGAAGAGTTTGAACTGTTGCTCGACGACAAGATTGACTTCATTCAAGCTCTTCAAATGCCTGGTACTCTGGATCCGAAGGTATATATCTGCTGCCTCTTACTCGAATTCTTTTGAACTCGGATTCTCATTACATTCAATCCTCCGCGTAATCTTAGGAGGAAGAGATCACGGCTGCCCAAAAGAGAAAAATGACGATAGAGGAGACGCGAAAGTCGCTACCTGTTTACGCCTTCCGAGAGCAATTTATTGAAGCTGTCAAGGAACATCAGGTACAGTTTAAGGAACAGTTCCTCCACCAAGTTTGGCAGAACGCTGGAACAAATATTTTTGTTTTCATGCCTAAGTTGAAATTGCTTATTTCATTATGTTTCCTTCGGGTCTCATCCAAAAGCGGGTAGGGCGCGACC